CAAGCTCCTCCCAGTCATTTATGGTAATGCTGTCACATGTAAAAGAGAGCTTTGGAGTGTCTTTGGAGAATTTTCTTTGTCTTGCCCTGGAATGTTGCCCATTTCAGTGTTAGAAAGGAAAGGGGCCTTGCAGGGCAGCTAATTTTTGACCACTGGGTCACAGAATCCAGTCCATTAATTGTGCATGAGTCTTTGCCTGAATCTTTGGAGTCCTCATCTCAAAATAGACAGTGGTGTTTGATGGTCTTCCAAGATGCAGCAGAGGTTACACCTGACGTAATTTCTCCTTTGCTCTCATGTGTCACTGACTGATGCATAGTCCAGGTCTCACTGCAAGGCACTCATCAGTATAACAAGGTGTAGAGCTGGATGAACACAGCAGGCCAAGCAGCATCAGAGGAGCAGAAAAGCTGAAGTTTTGGGTCTAGACCCTTCTTCAGAAAAATGATGGCTATTAAAGAGAGGTGGCTGCCAACATGTGGGAAGTGCCTAATGCAGTCCAAAGCCTCTCCTCGACATGTATGAGAGTGGAATATTTAGTTGACCAGATGTGTGTTGACTGAAGGATTTTGTTTTGGCAGCAGTCAATGACAAGCTGAGTTTCCTCTTTGCAAAACTGAAGAGATTGAGAGCTGCTTGCAAATTTTGTGCAAAGTGGGTCACAACATTGCAGTCATTCGTATCATGTATCATGGAAGTCAATTTAGTTTTGACTTGGAGGCAAGAGAGGTTAAAATGTTTTTGATGCAGGCAGTATTTAGTGTTACAATCCAGTTAGAGATCTGTGATGAAAGTGGCATATGGTTACGACCGAGGTTTAATGTCACGAGACTTTCAGTGATACTAGAGGAGTGTTCTGGCAGCATGTTCAAGGTCCAATTCCAATTGGCAAAGCCAACTCTATGAACATGACAATCGCTGTCAGCCTCTCTGTTCCATTAGTAGGTGTATTTCCCTACTTGTTTATTCGTTGCTTTTCCTGAGGGAGGCAGATCTCACTGAGGGTGGTGATGTTAATTTGGAGGCTAGACTGCTCACAGAATACAATTGCATGTATTTTTTTCTGGGACTGTCAGTCTTGAGATTATTCAAATTGAAAGTTGCAAAATTTGGAGTTTTCTTTCTTTAATCACAAGGCTCTTGATTTCTCAAGGTGTGATTCCCTAGCCAGGAGTATGTGGGACAGTTTATTTTTAATGCACCTTTTCTAGCCCCTTCCGAATTCACTGTGAGGAGACACTATCCAGAAGAGACTACTCAGTCAAAGATGCTGCTGTTCAAAGACACAACTGTTACAATAGAAGTGCCTCATGACCTTCATACATCTGTGACCTGTGTGCAGCTTCTTCACAAGGGACTCCCAGATTCACAGCCCTGTCCCTATCAACAAATTTCCCATTGGTATAGGAGTTGGCAAATGGACTCTTGTAGAAGCCTATACATGGCTTTGTTGGACGTAGGGTCTTCGAGGTGCTGTCATTGTCAATATAGTCTTTAAGGGCTGGTGGTCGGATTTTGGGTGATGTGCTGACTGACAATGACCAGGCCCCACCTGAAACAATGAGGAATCAAAGTAGTGCTTCACAGAGTGCTTGTACCGTAGTGGTATCATGGTATAAGCTGTCATCAGTAATCCTCAGTGGAGTGCAACAGAGGGCAAAAACAGTGAAACACCCTGTACCAGTCATCCACTGCAGTTTCCAAGTGACACAAATGCCTTGGCCCTCTTGACTCTGGGATTATATTAAAGCAGCCAAGAGAGTGGGGGAAGCAGCAAACGCCATTCCTCCACTATAATCAAATTCCTTCTCTAGGTCTAGCTGTGAAAAGTATGACATTTGAAATTACTTACAACTTGGACATACTTAAAGAATAAGGAGACTCTCAATACCAATAAAAAATTTAACAAAATAACAAATAAAAAAATTACACTGTTGTGAATTCTTATACCTGTTCTAAACCTTATAATTCAATACACAACAATTTCCTCAAACTATTTTGATTGCAGGTGTCTCTTTGCTTTTGTGGATTTGATCATTGCACTTCCTGACCTATCACTATTTAATGTTTTAACAGAGTGGGTGGCAACATTTACTTTCTCAGCGAAAAATTGAAAAATCAATTTGTGAACATTTCAGCAAGTATAATGCACCATTCAGGCGCTTTTAAAATGTGAATTTTTTCCACAAAGCTGGATGCTATGTTCTGTATTGGAGAAGGTCTCACATCTCTCAATGAAGTCTGTTTAGTTAGGCATCATAAGGTGAATTGGTTTTATAACCTATCCAGTTCATTATTCCACTAAACCTGCATTTTCCCTGGCAATACATCTACATACCTGCTGAATTAATTGACAGTTTGATGTCAGTCCAAGTCCCAAGTTAGACCCTTATGCGAAGGGCCAGAGTGGGAGGTGAATAGCATTCCAAATACTGGGATTGAGGCCTTCAGGGAATTTCTTGCTGAATGAATAGAAAAGGCACACAAGAAGTCTGATTGATTTATGGAGGGCTGAAAAAAGGGTTTGATTTTGCTCTGATAGAAACTGCAAGTGTTGGAAAATTTCAGCACATCTGGTAGCATCTGTGCAGAGACAGTGAGAGATCAAAACTGGTGCTGATCATGGGCCTTCACAGATGCTACCTGGCCTGCTGAGTATTTCAAACAACTTCTGTTTACATTTCAAATTTTTAGCATCTGCAGTACTTTGTTCTCCTATTATATCCTCCAAGCTGGGCATTTAAAAATGTAGTTTCAATTTCAAACAGGAACATTTTTATCTGTTAATGCAATATGCATTTTTTTCTGTTTCCGGAGTCCTCTTGTATGAATAGAAATTGCACATTATTTCACGGTATGGGTTGGAGCTAATTGATTGGAACATTTTGATACAGCAAGAACTGCAGATGCTGGAGTTGGAGATAACACAGTGTGGAGTTGGAGGAACACAGCAGGCCAGGCAGCATCAGAGGAGCAGGAAAGTTGACGTTTCGGGTCGGGACCCTTCTTCAGAAATGAGGGTGGGGGGTGCAGTGAGAAGGGAGCTCAGAAATAAGTAGAGAGAGAAGGGGTGGGGCTGGGGAAGGTAGGTAGGATGGTGATAGGTGAGTGCAGGTAGGGAGTGGTGGGAATTGGTGGGAGGAGCGGATAGGTAGGAGAGAAGATGGACAGGTTGTGTCAGTTCAAGGATAAGGGGATAAGAATGAGGGTTGGTCATGGGATGAGGCCGGGGGTGGGGAGATTTTGAAACTGGTAAAATCTGCATTTAGGCCATTGGGCTGTAGGCTCCCGAGGCAGAATACAAGGTGCTGCTCCTCCAGTTTGCGGGTGGTGTCATTGTGGCACTGGAGGAGGCCCAGGATGGACATGTCGCCCAGGGAGTGGGAAGGGGGAGTTAAAATGCTTGGCGACCAGAAGGTGTTGTCATTTCTCGTGAACAGAGCACGGATACGCTACAAAGCTGTCTTCGAGCCTTCGCTTGGTCTTACCAATGTAGAGGAGGCCACATCGGGAGCAGCAGATGCAGTAGACCACATTGATGGATGTGCAGGTGAACCTCTGTCTAATGTAGAAATGTCTCCCTTACCCCCCTATGCCCATTTCTGAAGAAGGGTCCCGACCCAAAACGTCAATTTTCCTGCTCCTCTGATGTTGCCTGATTGGAACATTTATCTACTTTTAAACATGGAAGTGAAACTAGGAGTCAAATGTCAATGGAGTATGTCACTGTTCATTCAACATATTCTCCATTGTGCATGGGATTGTTGTTTACAGGTTCAAGTCTTTAGGACATTGCTGTCCTGATATTGCATAGGTTCAAGAAGTGGAGATGGACGCATGATATCAACAATTGTACATAATTGTCTGTCAAAGCTATAGTTAGAAAATGTACGACACTGAAACCTATACTCCTCAAGGACTTTACAAATATAGGAACAGAAGACATAAGACAATTTCCTCAACCTGTAACTATATTCTCAATTGTGGGCACTGGAATAATATGAGGGGGAGATTGGGCAGTTTGGGGTAAGGGATCTGGATTCATGAAGGTATCAGAGCTCATGATTTCATTCCCTGGCCTTGCCCAATGCCTCTGTTCTATGAAGGCACATCAGTCTGAAGTCCATAACGTGGCCGTGTAGTATTTTGTAATGAGAATGACCCCAAGTTTCAGAATCCACTATTTATTATGGTGTTTTGTTTTACTCCTTGAACGTCTCCTTAAACTGTTACTCTAGAAGAACGGGGAAATAAACGTTGAAAAGCATGCAGTCAGAATGGGTCCAGGAAACACAGCCGGGTTGAGGCATCTATCTAACACGGGCAAAGAGAGCGCCAGCTACTCCTGCAGTGTGGACTGGATAGTCTCTAACTAGTGAAGCTACCTGGTACAACCCAGCTCCCTCACGATGAGAAACACTGAAAGCGATATTGTAGGCATTTATTCAGCCCCTTGCAAAGCAAGGACTCTTTCACACCCAAAGACAATTACACAGTTAACCTTTCGCGTCAACGACCTTTCCTGTGAAATCTGGGACCTGGAACGTTATCTCTTGTTCATAGACACCCAGAACATACCCAAGGCTTTGCTGCTTTCAGTTCAGATTTCCAGCATCCGCAGGAATTTGCGGGTGCGTTACACTTTTGGCTAGTTTGGGTTTCTGTTGGTTTGATAATCGCTGCTAACATTTATGTATTCTTGAGGAAACAAGACATCCTTACATCGTCTCACATTACACCAAAGGCATTGGAAAACTGGCTAATAAAAAGGGTTCACCTTTACTATTGCAACGGGACGAACCGGAAAGCAAAGTGCTTTTAAAATTAATTTCGGACGGTTCTTCCTAAAAGTGACTGGCGACTTATTGCAATTGTTGCCTGTTCCTAAGTGAACAGAAGCAGGAAGGGAGAGAGGTATCAGAGCAGGTAAAGGTTTAACACTAGATCAGCTACAGGAACCCCGGAGCGCAGCGCCTGCATTGATGCAAAGTGTTACTTACCCAGTATGTTTCCGACCAGGGCGACAATGAACACTATAATATAAGCGACGATGAGCACCCACTCATACTGCTCAGGGTACAAATATTCCTGCCACAAGTAGCGAATAAACTCATCGTCGTAATCAGCTCCGGACAGGAGGGCGCCGCTGCTATTGGTCTCATTGGGTGCATTGAGCTGCTCAGCCTGGTCCTTCTCCATCTCCTTCATTGCAGAGTCTGCTCACAGACTGCCCACTCCCCCAGATCGCTCCATTCCCCGGCACAGAGCTACCCAGGGATTTACGTGAGCGCGAATGGCGAGGGAGGAGGTATCACTCAGACTGGCTGACGTTCTCCCAGTGCCCACTCCTCACCAACTTCACTCTCCCGCAGTCCCTCCAATGGGAATGGACATGAGCGGATCGCTCCAACTGCCCCTCACCCCCACCTCCCAGCCTGGGAGACACCCAACTCTCATCCCCCACCCTCAAAACTGGGAGAATCCCAACCCCACCCCACCCAACCTTGGAGATTCCCCACCCTCTATCCTGATAGACACCCAACCTTCATCCCTCACCCCTCAGCCTGCGAGATGCGCCCCCACCCCCCACCCCACAGCCTGGGAGGCACCCCATCCTCATCCCTCAAACCCCAGCCTGGGA